TACATGTGCTCATCTCCTCCTGATGATGCTAGGTTAGGTCAGGTTAGGTCCAAAGTGAGTGGGTCTAGTCGACCCTCCACTGCAACCCGCAAGGGTTTATTGTGGTTCACACCTATTTACACTCGACCAAATAAACCCAACTTCTTAACGGAGCGGATTAGTTTGTATGGTGAGTGGTCTTTCAGGTCATATGGTAAGAGTACGGCTCTGCCGAACTCTAAAAATCTGATTCGGTCCCCAGCGGGGCAGGCACAAAGTATGTGCTCTGCTGTTTCATCATTTTGTAAACAGAGGCGACACACACTGTCTTCCGACAGTCCGAGTCTCTGCATATGATGATTCAAATGACAGTGACCTGTAAGAAGGCCTGTTAGACATCGTAGTTCATCCCTGCTGTAGTCCAACAACTGTTTGGTATCAAACTTCGAAGGATGAATAAATGCCTTGGAGTGAGCCAATTCTGGAAGATTCTGCCAGAAGTCCATAAATCTCTTGTCTGATGATGCTAGCTTGGATAACGAAGATACGGCCTAGTGTCCTTCTGACATATTGGATCGCATCGTCGTCGCCGTCTCATTATGATACAATTTTGGTCGTGTCGTATTCATGCTTCATTTTAAAACCGGCAACACTTCATACGTCTCATCGCCCAATAAACAACGATTTATTTTACAGCCGACAACACTGTAGCAACACACACATCATCCGTTATCAGCTCGATACGATCTCCATCTCTCTCACATGCATACGTCAAACCGTCCTCTCACTCTTACACACATCTCTTATACGGGTGGGGGCGGTTTGAAGAGCCGCTTTTCTAAGACTACCGCCTAGTGATACACAATATAGGGCACTATTTTCTTCACTTGCAAACATCATTGACTTTCTGCAATGGCTCGAATTTTCAAATATCAACGACGAACAAGGTCGTGAAGCTGAGGCTTTTGCAATAAGCAGCGGACTTACTCACATTATGAATGAGCCAACCAGGCTTCCTGACCATGATGGAGAATATGCTAGTCTTCTGGATCTATACCTAACAACCAATCCAGAAATTTACACAGTCACCGTAAGGTCTCCATTGGGATCTGACCACAAACTCATGTCAGTGATGCGTGAATTACCGATAAATGTTGGGGAACAATCTGAGCCGCGCAAAGTTTGGCATTACAGATCAGCTGAATGGGAGGATCTTCAAAACCATTTCCGAAACTGTCCCTGGCTAGTTGTTTGTTTCAGTTCTAAAGATCCATCAACTTATGCTTTTGAAGTCACGGAAGCTATTCTATCATCCATGGATGCATATATTCCTTTTTAAATGAAACGACCTTTTAACGGCAAAGCTTGGTTCATTAAAAATTGCGAGCAAGCTATCACCTCCAAAAATCTCGCCTACCGGTAGTGGCGCAAAAATCCGATAACTGAACTAGGTTTGTTAATGCTCGCAACAGCTGCAAACTTAGGATAAATGAAAGCAAAGAATTCACAATCAGAGAATTAGGGATAAACTGCTCGCCAATCCCAACGGATCTAGATTCTTCTGGTCGGTAGCTAAAGCTGTTAATCAGAACTTTACAAAATCCACAATTTCACCACTAACATAAGTGGGTGGTTCAATTGCAACAACAGCCATAGAAAAATCAAATCTACTAGCTGAACAATTTGCGTCCCACTCCACAGTCGATTTTCTGGGAAAGGCACCACCCGCAATTCCCACACTAGAATCCACAATGCCGAAAATTACTTTTCGACAGTGGCAGCGTCTACTCAGGCGAAATTTGAAACAGCTCAATATCATCAAGGCGTCTGGCCCTGATGAAGTGCCCGTCATTGTACCTAAAAAGTGAGCAAATAAACTCGCACCAGTAAATTAGCAGACTCTTCAACCTGTCTTATAAGAAGGGGGTTTTTCCTTCTTGTTGGAAGATTGCTCGTGTTCAGCCTATTCCCAAAAAGGGCATCATGGAGAAAGTCGTAAACCACCAAATCCCCAAATATTTGGAAGGCTTCAACATATTGAGCGATCATCAATATGGTTTTCGGAAACAAACATCAACAGGCGACCTTCTATCATATGTCACCCATATTTGGAATAACTCTATCGTGAAACATGGAGAATCAAGAGCTGTTGCGCTTGATATTTCTAAGGCCTTTGATCGTGTGTGGCATGAGGGTTTGCTGGCCAAACTTCGATGTTATGGCTTGTCGGATCATTTTTGTGTATGGCTCTTCAGCTTCCTGAAAGAACGTTTCCTGCAAGTGGCCGTCGATTGATATCTCTCGAATACTTCAATCATCAACGCTGTTGTTCCCCAGGGATCCATCCATATTGTCTCACACCTTCTTTTTATTGCATATCAACAACATATTGGAAAGAACCAAATATTCAATAGTTTGCTTTGCTGACGACAGCACTCTTGTCTCGTCATTCCATTTGGATTCCAGGACTTCGGCTACGGAGGCACATCTTTACCGGCAGCAGGAGGTTATATATCTTAATGAGGTTCTAGAAGTGATTTCGAATTGGGGTGAACGTAACCAGGTTCAATTCAATGCCACAAAAACCCAGGCATCGGTTTTCTCCAAGAAGATAAATGTCTCCGAACCGGATATAATAATGTCAGGTCAGACAATTTCGCTTTCTGCTTCGATAAGTTTGTTGGGGGTTAAAATGGTAACCAATTATGTCGCGGGAATTGCAAAGGCTGCTTCCCAAAAGCTTGGAACACTTTTCCGAACCAGAAAACTGTACACACCTCAGCAACTTTTGATGCTTTATAAAGCTCAGATTATACCTTCTTTGGAATATTGTTCTCATGTATAGAATTCTGGCCCTAAATATACCCTGAAATTGCAACCTTGATAGCCTGAAACATCGAAGAAAGGTTGGAGATTTGCCTGTCTTCTATAGACACTTTCACGGGAAGTGTTCAAGTGACTTGACACATTTGATTCCACCAAGAGCGGTACATATCCTAAATACGCGACGGACTGTGGCAGCTCTTCGTTTTGAGGTTCAACTCAGTACACCTCGAACTTCACTGTTTAAGAACTCTTTCATCTGGAGAACTGCATTCATGTGGAAAAAACTTCCTGAGAACGTTTTTCCAAATGGATTTAATCTCCAGCGATTGAAATCTAAAGTGAATCGCTACTTTCGCAGAGCATCTGGGAGCATCTTAAGGATTTTACTGTAGTGCTTGTGTTTTGTACTTGAAAAAATATTTAACAATATATTTAAATGATGAAAAATATGTATACATATTATGATATCCCATATCCCAAACGTCACCAAGATGATGATTATATAAACATAGTAGTTTAGAACTATTACTATATATCTGCAGACGTCTTATGAAAACCACCATGTGGCTATACACAATAAAATTTCAAAAAATATTCATAGTAAATGCTCTGAATGTCTCCCTGCAGCTCTGATGCATAAGCTGCAGTGCCGAACAAAATGACTGCAAAATTCTATGCAGATTATTTTGTATGTCTTGCACCATATGACGAGTTCATCTCCCATGAAGCCTCAAAAAATCAAGAGGTTAAGGTGGCTAAGAGATAAGGTGACTGAGAGATTTTTCTTGTTCGCGTAAAATTCATGTAACCTGGTTGTCATCATAAACTTGGGTTCGTCATTTCCGATGTGGATATCCGAATGAATGGCCTTCAAAGTACGCATAATTTACGAATGAAAACCCGATTGTTAGGATGATTGTTTATATTCGTATGTCGCTCATCATATATCTTTGATGCCTCTCAGGCATTCCGTTGCATGAGCTGTAATTAAAATACATTCATGCATATTTCCTGAGGGCGTATGGTATATTTTTGTTAGCATAAATGGGTCTTTTATATTTTCAGTTCCATAAAAACAAAATTGAATTGCATTGTGATTATTATTTCAGTTTTAGTCCCATTCTTTGGAAAATGTGTTGAATACTTTTTTCAATAGATTCGACGGAATATAATTGTTATAGTACACTAGTGAATTAAATTTTTCAGTATGTACTTTTTACGGTCGAACTACCATTTTTCAGTGAAGGAAAATTCCCTGTCATCCAAATGATCTTGGAAGTTTACGATGTACGAGTACGTCAAAAATTTACCTTGAAAACTCTGATACTGTTTCAGAGATTATATATATTATTATAAATTCTGATTTTTCCTTATATTCAGTACACATTTCAGTACTGGACATCGCAAAATCGTCCTTTTGTTGGCGATAGCTGCCGCCTCAGATTAAAGAGGTTTCTTACGATGGTAAACATCAAAGGTGTGGGTTTCATATTTTTCGACTCTAGCTTTGATCTCTTGGACTATCAGATTCAGGAAACTTCCTTTGACATTCCTCATTTGACTATATTTCTTCTTCACATCAGTCTTGTCAATTTTTGAATAGATTTTCTTGTTTTCCGTGGTTATGTTTTCTCTTCATGTCTTGTGAATAAGTATCCCTAAGCAAATAGTCTTGTCATTGGTATCTCTTGGCCCTTTGTCTAAGCTTTTACATTCAAATTTGCTTTTTTCTTGGAGTTTTTGTTCTCATCCTTATAATTCAGATTTTCTTCTCGTTTATCTTCATCAACTACAACAAAAGAAATAAACTTTAAATCGCAATGGGATGTGACGCCAATTCACACCATACAGCGTGGGGCAGCACGAGTTAAATGAGTTACTCTTTGATTATATGCTAGGGGAAGGGCTGTCTGTAATTAATGAGGACTCGGAACCAACTTTTGTCACTAGTAATAAGCAAGAGGTATTAGACTTAACCGTCAGCTCAGCGTTCTCTGAGCAACAAGATACACCATTGGTCTGTATCTACTGAACCTTCTTGTTCAGACCATAAATATATTCATTTCAATATTGAAACAGGTCTAAGACCAGTAGTGGAATATTCTGACTCAAAATCTACTGATTGGAGTGGGTATAAGAACTCCCTCCAATCGTACCTTGAGGACGGATTCATTACTATTCACAGTTGTACTGATATGGATACAGTAGCGGAGCATTTTCGCGAAGCAGTGATCTCATCCTATCATGAGAACTGTCCACTGAGGTTCAAAAGAGATAATTATAAGTCTTCTTGGTGGAACAAAAGCCTGAAAAAACAAAGAAACGAAGTTCGACGAACCCTCAATCGAGCTAAAGAGTCAGGTAACTGGGAGTTTTATAAAGCTACTCTAACGACATACAACAAGGAAAATAGAAAGGCAAAACAGGAGTCCTGGAGGAAGTTCTGTGAGAGTATCTCTGATTTACCTCGCAGCGCAAGAATTCACAAGATTCTCTATAGAGGGTCGCTTAAGCGACCCGATGAAACATTCACGACCTCTAGTATCTGTTGAGGAAGACTCAACAGATTGTCTCTGGTCTGAGTTCCTGGCCTGGAAGGCAATGAGGCTGCTCACTCCCTTACAAAAAAGGGGGCTGTAGGCAGTTTAATCGGACCAGAACCTGTCATTTGCATCGCTTTAGGCTTTAGATTGAACCCTTGGATGGCAAGAAGATTCATGGACTTCTGACAGAATCTTCCAGGATTGGCTCACTCTAAGGTGTTTATTCACTCTTCGGAGCTTGATAACAAACAGTTCTTTGACTACAGTAGGCATGAACTACGATGTCTAACAGGCCTTCTTACAGGTCACTGTCATTTGAATCATCATATGCAGAGACTCAAACTGTCGGACGACAGTGTGTGTTGCTTCTGTTGGGTAAATGATGAAACAGCAGAGCACATACTTTGTGCCTGCCCCGCCGTGTACCGAATCAGGTTTTTAGAGTTCGGCAGAGCCGTACTCTTATCATCAGATCTGAAAGACTACTCACCATACAAACTAATCGGCTTCGTTAAGAAGCTGAGTTTATTTGGTCGAGTGTGAATAGGTGTGAGCCACAATAAACACTTGCGGGTTGCGGTGGAGGGTCGAATAGACCCACTTACTTTGGACCTAACCTAACCTATCTTCATCCTATCTGTTACCCCCTTCTTCGTTATGTATATCTTGGTAAATTTTAGTCCGCATGTGAATTGTTTTTCTTGGTTATATTTTGTCCATCTCCCGTTGTGAAATATCTGTAAGCAACATTTCATGATCTTGGTTTTTCTTAGCATTTATTCTAATCTTCGTGTTCTTCTAAGTTTAGTTCTCTTCAACTCTTTGTTTTTCTTATTATTCTTAGTAGGTTGATTTTCTCATTAATTGTTTTTTGAACCTTCGTTATGGAACCTTGGTCACAGTTTCATCGTATTACTCAGTAATGTATTAATTATTCAATTCACCGTATACAGTTAACTATTGAGGATATGAATACACCCACAATGAAAATGTATTGAATGTATAAATGTATTGACCATTGATTGACTATGTATTGAATGCTCATAATTTCGTTACAATTTGTTCAATGTATTTATATATAGAAACATTATGAATTGAAATGGAAGAAATTTTTCAGGAAAGATTCATATTTTCGGAGAAGTAGAAAGCCAAAAAGATTTCGTTCCCAAGAGGCATTATTTTCTTCGTTATATATTTTTGTCGCAAAGTTCCATCGAAGAACTAACAGTGTAGAAATTCAGTTACATCATAAAGATGTTAGATCAGTGTATGCTACCGTTATTCAAAAAGATACTTTAGGCCAGTGTCTCCCAATTTTTTTTGTGCCATGCCCCACCTTGCTTTTCTAAAATTCTTATTCCCCCCTATGTAACATACATAACTTCTAATATTAAAAAATGTAACTGTAATATTAACTCAAATCATGGGTTTTTGGAAGAAATCACTAGGAAATTGTTAACAAAACACAGTATGTAAATTTTCAAAACATATAATGAAAAACTGAAATTTAAATTCCAAATAATATTAATGGAATTATTTCTATATCAATTCATTATTTTAATTCAGTAAGATCCTTGCACTTGATGCTTGCTGCACAGAGATTTTACATTATTCTCCTATTCTTCTGCTAACAGAATTGTTACTGAGTGGCTTAGCTTTTACATCTCTCATATTTTTCAGGATCCGTTTTGAGAAATGCTGATATTCACGGTTTCACTATTGATAAATAGCCGCAAGAACACCATTAATATTTGAAATATGAGCAGTAAATAGAGACTTTAATGTTGTTCTATTTTAAAATATTTTTAAAGTTTTAAAGTAATTCAAAACTTAATTATTATGAACACTATGTTTCGCCTTCAAATGCGCCTATCAGCCGGTATGAACCCAAATTTCAAATATTCCTCCAAATATGGACAAGTTTTTTTCTTACTTGCACCACTCATTTAACTATGGGATATCTATAAAAAATAAATATAAAATCAATAAAAAATTAAATTCAAAGTGTTAAAATTGATTTAATGTGACATAGAGTAAACATAGACTGAAAAATCAATATGTATTTAAATGTATATAACACAATTACTACACTGCCACCGCAAAATAATATCATACTTTTACCATTCGACAAAATTTTATGATGGTTTTAAAAATAAAATCAAATACAATTATATCTATACAATGTGTATATTTATTAAATCAACGAGCTTTTACAACAATTTTAACGGACACTTATTTCAAATTAACACCAACTGAATGCAGTAAAACACCACAGAAGTTGCGATGGGTCATTCAGGTGCAAACATTAAATTTGGCAACGAAATCTAGCATTGCATTTAAGTTACCCCGAGCGAAACGGTTGAACTTGTGTCGAGTCCATTTTCGAATTGCCCCTACTCAACAATCAAATTGCCCCCTTGTGGGGCGTGTGCCTCACTTTGGGAAACACTGCTTTAGGCATTGGTAAAAATATCCGAAAACAGAGAAAATGCATCTCAAAAAGCTACATTGACCATCCAAAACAAAGAAGATTTATTTTTCAAATTCATCAAGAGTCATTTCGATGTTTATTGCCTGAATATTATTCGAGGATTGCAAACCACCAATTTCATATTACTTATTGAGACAGACTTAATCAATAATATTTCATTTACTCAGGAGCAACGAATCGTCCAGACTTAATTGACCCAGCTCTCCTGAGGCCCGGAAGATTTGACAAGTTACTGTATATTGGTCCGTGTACAGATAAAGAATCGAAACTTTCAGTCTTAAAGGCTCTTACACGAAAGTGAGTATGAATATTTAGTAGTTTATATTGAAAGAGTTATATTTTTAGGACTGACTATTTTTAGGGAAAGAAAGTTTTTGGCTTTCTACTACTCCATCTTGATACAAAAAAATGTGGGAATCTTCCAAAGAATGGAAGGAAGCAATATATTTTAAAAGATGTAACTCTATCCACAGATGTGTAAATCATGCAAAGAAGTAACTTTCAGACACAATCTGGAAAAAAAAGCCCTCCTGAAACAGCTACTTTCACATGAACATTGAATTACACGAAAGAAAAATTCTTTCGAAACAAATACTTCCATATGAACATTGAATTATTCAAAAAACACTTTTCTCTACTCAGTTTGTATTCCAAACATTCGTTATGGATTTATATCAGAAATCATTTATAGGATTTCTACACAATATACTAAAGAAAGTTACTCACTTGGAACACTGTCATCCTCACTGGTAGACATTGATGTTTCGCCGTAAGAAACTTGCCGTTTTTCTAGATCTACTTTGACTTAGACTAGATACACGTTCGTCAAGAAAATATTGTTTGAGGTGATTTTCAGTAGTCTGATCTAAACCTTTGAGAATTTTTTGTGAAATTGAAAGGTTTGGTAATCCAACTAATTGATCAAATGTTGTTTTTGTTGGGAAAGTGATCAAAAATATTCATAGATGAACAATTTATTTTATTGCCAACTTTTCGTACTTCATTGAAGCCACAATAACAATTTTTTTCATAACAAAACAGTATTTATGCCAATACATAATGCAATGACATAATTTTTGTTTCCTAATATTGTGGAAAAATATAATTAAAAAAACTGAAATGCAACTTACCAAACATTGAAATAAAGTTGAATATATTACGGACAACATTGGTACAAAGACCAATGAAATTGAGAGAATAACAACATGAAACCACAGACACATTGATAAGGAATATGTTATCTAGATGAGACCACTGATTAGAATTGGGCGTTCCATTCAACAAATTGAAATGAGTATTTTTTTAACCCTTTTTTATTTGAAAATGTGGATCATTTTTTTAAAGACCCGTTTATCTAATCTACAATTTTGGGGTTCACAAAGTCAAAACTGTGGTTATTTTCTCTAATGTGTTCAACGAGGGCTGTTGGGTTGACATAATTCAATTTTTTGCATCTCTTCCATGTTCAGACAACCTGTGCTTTAGGTAACGTCCCCTTTGTCCATTATAACATTTCTAAAAATTACAATGATTGTATATATTTGAAAGATTGGAAAAAAATCTTGTTTTATTGTTGAATATCTGAAATGAAAACCATTCTATATTTCTTTCTCTATATAATTTATTATTTTATTATTTATTTTCAATACATACATTGAAGAAATTATTGTCATTATTTTAGATGTGAGTATTGTTTATTTGTATAAAATTTTAATTAATTTGGCGAAATACAATGGATTACTCACAGAGTAAAATATTGAGGTTGTAGACCAACCAATTGAGTGAGACTTGAATTTCTTTATTTTAGATTCAGTCTCTCAAATGATGTCAATTTAATCGAAGTTGTGAAAATCAGTCCGAAGAATATAACGGGGGCAGATTTTTATGGAATTTGTTCTAGTGCGTGGTCATCGGCTGTGAGAAGACTTATCAAGAGAATTGAAAACGGTAATTGAACGTTATGTTTGAATGTAAGCACAATGTCTCGTTTAGATAATGAGATTTCAAGCTATAGATTTATTTTTTGGTTGAAAGTTTCTGTTCTATTCAGATGGTAATGAATTTAAATTCTGAAAACAAAATTCATTTTCTTTATAATTTTATGAATTGCTTATTTTTGATATCTTACTTGTGATAACAGAATATAAAAATGCTTGTTTATTGAAAGATTCATTTCTTTACAATATTTCAGCAAAGCAACTTTAATAATCTGTTATGACAAAAAATAAATAAAATAAGTCATTCCTCTTCTCAATCTTGAAAAAAATCCTTTGGAAAAAGTATTTTTTTAAATTATTCAATTGTGTTTTGTCATATCATTGAAAATATTGAAGTTTCAAGTAATTGTGTTTATGAGTGTTTACTAATGATTCAGCATAAATGTTTTCTGTTTTTAGGTGAAATCGATTCTGAATACGGCCAAGATGTTATTGTTAATTTTCAAGATTTTGGGGAAGCTATGATGAATGTCAAGCCATCCATAAAATCTGAAGATTTACTATATTTCGAAAAGTTGAAGAGGGAACTTGGATCAAATCAATGAATGTAATTGTGTATATGAACCAACTTATCTGATATGAATTGTTTCATTGGTTATTGAAATGGATGGAGACTTTTCAAATTGTTAAACGAAATTCTTGTGTTATATAACCTTTTATATATCTACCTTATTTGTTTTATTCCTTTTAAGATGGTGTTAATTAGATATGTGCAGAAGATTTCCTCTGATTAGGAAATCAAAAAATAGTCAATAACTTGTATTTAAAATTCTACAACAATCCGATTGAACAACAATAACAATCATTTTTAATAAAAAAACGTGATCCGTTTGTTGAATTACAGTAATCGTCCAAGAAGAGAAAGTTCGGAGATTCGTTCACTTTTGTGATCTCTTCATTATGCAATAATCTGAACGGATAATTTGGAAACGATTCCTTGAAATGACAGACTGATTTCGCTAAAAATCAAACGATTCAATGAAAAAACTTAGTCTCTTTCGCCGACCTTTCGAACTTTATCAAGTTTATTATATCTCAATATTTATGTAGAATGATTTATTAGATATCCGAAATCATTTTCGTAGAACTTTGTAGATAGTCTTGATGAAGTTCGAGACGTCATCGAAATATATGGATTTTTTCCCGAATTGTCTAACATTTGTCATTGAAACTGTCACGTGGAGTGAATATTTTTGAAGTTGATATTTTTATTTAGGGTTCAAACAGGTAGAGGTCCAAAAAAGTATCCACAAATAAACTTTATAATACATAAAACATTCGATCTCATAAAAATCGGTAACGATAAACATTCAATGATCTAAAATAATTTTGGAAGTTCTTTTGGAAGCAAATAAAGAATAGAGAAAACATTGAGAAAACCACAGTATTTTCTGAATGAATCACGAATTCTTGTATTATTGAGTAGATTCGGACCTCAATGAATTTTGAAGTAAGCAACAAAGAAATCTGTGTCATCCCTATGCAAAATGTCCCAGAATTTAGTGAAAACGTGATATATTTCTTATTTGTAAAGCTAGAAAAATCAAACAAAGCCAGTGTTTCGAAAATGTCATAGTGCTCTTCCTAAATCAATTTCAAAATCGTCATCATTGCAGTTTCTAAGAAACTATACCCCCACCTTGTTTTTTTGAAATGGCATCCCCAGAAAAATTTCATTGTGTGTTTACATATTACTGTAAATACTATCGCCCATCATTTTTTATTCAGGGTTTTCCAGAATTCAATTAACACGTGATATTCTCGGCGTGAAAAGAGATGCGGGAATGAAAAAATTCAACTTGAGATGTTGAAAAGTATTCCTGAGAACATGATCGACACTACGCTAACCAATTCTCAATAAAATATTGTTTATTTTAGTTTTTGCAGTGGCACTCCAAAAAAATTAAATCTCTCTTCGAGTCTTCCTGTCATTGTTGATATTGTTATAAATCATTTTTGATATTCAACGAAAGTCATTTTTTGTGGAGGAAAAAATCAGTTTTTATCGACCTTTTTTTTTGGGTAATTGTTACCTTCCACAATCTGAAAAAATATAAAAATTATAATGGAGAACTTTATACTTTATATTTTGATAAAAAAAATTGCACTCAAATAATAATCTTATCAGCAACATAAAACATTTAGAAGTACAAAAAAGATTTTTGCTCTAGTGTCGTCCTCCATTACAAATCTATTTAAGCACACAGCTGGAAATAGAGTTAACAACCTATTAGTCTATTGTGTGTTTTTCCATTAACCAGCCCCTTCTACGAACAACTGTCAAAAGTCGAAATTTGTGCGAGCTGAGTATTAACGTGGTTTTACCTTTCAACGTGCGATTCCTAGCACATTAAATGTTCTGCGATATGCACAAATTTTAGTTGGAGTGTTAGCACCGTGCAGAGAATTGTACAAAAACATATTTACCGCTCTTTCAAAAGTCATTTGGTGCATGATTTGCGACTCCCAGATATCGATAGAAGGCTAGAATTTATTGCACGTATCCAAGCTATGGTATATAATAATTCAAGTTTCCAGGTGTCAGTCTGGGAAAGGAAATGAAGATTTTCCAGATCTTCACTGGAATGTCGTACTTCATTATTCACCCATTTACTGCCTACATCATTTATTATATATTTTTTCATCAATGGAAATTTAATATTGAAGTAGTATAAAAAATTTCCATGAAAGACTGGAATGGAACGCCATATTTACATCAATATTCGCGTATATACCCAGACCAATCTTCATTCAATAGATCTCTTGAAAAATTTGCAATTGACATATCATAGAAATTTCTTTTGTAATGAGATGGTGGCCTCTGTTTTGGAGTTTCAATATTGAAGTCCACATGATGCTTCTATGGTCTGATATGGCATTGTCAAGAATACAGGAAATCCAGTCATTAGTAAAATTCATGAAAACATCTATAATAGTTTTATTATGGACTGTAACTCTGGTTGGCCATTCGACTAAATTATCGACAATTTCAAAAGGCGCTAAGATATTCATCAATTTTAGATAGTCATTATTTGATGTTTTTGCTTCGATATTAAAGTCGCTGCAGATCATAATCTAAACATGTGGTTTGTTAAATTAATTCAGTACATCTTCAAGTGTTTCAAGGATTGTTTGCAGATTCCCAGATGGAGATCTATAGGAATTTAAAGTGAAGTGTGTATTGTTTTAGATTCATATGAGAATGCTGAGACTTCAAAGTCTTTTTCGCAACAGAATTTGTTGATGTCAATACATTTCATTTCAATATTATTTCTAACCCAGATTCCAACACCACCACATCTGACTGAAGTTCTACAATAGCAGTCAATGAGATGTAAGTTTTCAATAACTCTGTCAGACAAATAAAACATATATTTTTGAAGGAATTGATATCCATTAGAATATTACCAATTTAATAAGGTGAAACACTGTATACTGAGAAGTAACAGCTGGGGATCAGAAACTGTTGTGTTAAGTCTTGAGCTGCCGTTCCATTCTTTTGAGGTAAAAAGCATACATTTTCAAGCCACAAGGTTGGATTCATCACTTTGTTGAAGTGATGATCATATATTTTTACCTTGAATTAGACATACACCTGAGGATACCGTGATTTCAGAGGTTCGAAACTTACCTCAGGAAAATTCGGTTTGAGTAGGGACATACTTCCCTTGGTGGTATCGGGAGCCAGTCTGTAGATACGGAGATCTACAAATTTAGGCACTCCTTTTACTGCTCTAGAATTGATATTACTGCTACCAACAATCACTTTGGCAGGGTATCGTTTACGGGAAGTGATGATTTTCCATGTATTGTTCCTAGAAGCAGTCGATTTGATCGAGGTGGACGTTGTTTGTCGTGAATTATCCGCCAGGTGGATAATATCATTTAATTTATTTCTGGTAGTCACTTCCAGTAATGTCCTTGATAGTCATTTTTTTACCTGTTGAGAGTTCCCCTTGGAATTCCTTTTTTTTTAAACTGTGGAGATGATGTTAGCTGAATCAGTTTTTACTTTCTTTTGTTTGTAAACAGTTGATATCAGACAAAGTTTTTTTGGTGGAGCTGGCATTACCTTTTTGGCCTGCCAGGTATTCCACAACTGCTTCGTTTCGACGTTTCGATTGTTAGTGTCCACAATCGTCTTCGGGTGATGACTGGACTTATTCCTCCGAGAGATGACTATAGGTCATACGAGTACTTTCACCTATCTCCTCTTCTTGGCTGAATGCGTTGTTGGGCAAAATATATGTGGCTTCTTTGAATTTCCTCCTAAACCAGTGTTCACCCCCTGTGGATCATCTCAGGTTGGGACCAATGTTGATAAGTCCAAACATGCTCTGCTATTTCCAATTCACTGGTTTCTCCTCGCTTGTGCGTTCCTTATGATCGGCAATGCAGATTTTCAATGACCTCTTAATTTGACCGGTATAGGATTTTCCACACGCAGGGTATCCGGTAAATGCAATTCTTGGAATCGTAGTCCGCGTTTGGTGGTCTGGTTTTCTGGAGGTTGCTAAGGATGGTATTTCCGTATCTGAAGCAGGTTCCGATGTTGTAATTGAAACCAATTCTTCTTATCCTTTCCGACAATCCTCTGATGTAGGGAAGTGCAAGTACTGGTTGAGACGGCTTCTCTTCCTTGCAAGGATCTTGCTGTCTTTTAGCCAAAATCTGTTCCACCAGCACTTTGGAGTAACCATTCCGTTGAAGATAATTTTTGATGATGGCTAGTTATTTCTCGAGACCTTCCTTTGTATTACAGAACGAAATTTTATGTTTTAATAAATTGCGATTTTCATGTATTAACATTTTCTGTATTTCATGTAGACCAATAAACATTTTTATATATTTGGTTGAAAATAACTTCATAGTATTTCAATTAAATATAAAGAATATTACCTCTCAGTATTTATATCAATAGGGAGACTCAAATGAAATATACTATTGTGTATTTGTCTAATTTTTCCATATTTACAAATAACGGAGATATCAATTGTTGAATAAATTCTAGGACACCCTGTATATTCATAACAGCAAGAATAAATATTTTGTACATACAATTTTCATTTTTATGATGGGATTGACAGATACTTGATGAAATTCGAATAATTATCTTCCAAACTCATGTCTGCGTAGTTTAATTCGTTGAAACTTCCCAGATACTCATGAAATATATTGGCTATGCAGTATGTGGATTTTTGGGAAGATGTGATATATTACTAAGAAATATAGGTTTTCACCTTTCCTATAGTTTCCACATCAAACTTGGAAGGATTTCTGTTTCCCTTCCATTCCTATTCCATTTTCTCTAATATAGGATCGATGTTTTTTTCTAGAATTTCAAACTATTGTGGCACTATAGCAAAGAAATTTGACTTGATAATATAATAGTTTGAATTGTCAATATGATGTTATGATTTCTTCATCACCAGAATTGTATTGTAACTTAAAATAAATCCAAGAGTATCTGGTCCATGACTCTCTTTGGATTTTAGATTTTCTAAGCCCTGCATTACAAGTAAGTTCGTTGACACAATAGCACAACCACATGGAAAATATTTTTGTCGATATAAATTGTCAGTATTGACAATATAATGTGATGATTTCTTTATCACCGTTTCCAAGCAGGGCAAAAAGGATTTTATCGTAACTTCTTGTCTATAATATAATTTTGGAATGAATCCGAGACTATGACCCTTTTCACACTTGTTAAGATTTTCTATACTTGCATCAAGTTGGTTGACCATATTCAAAATCTTACTTTTTTTTGGGTGTATAATCTTCCACAAGTTAACAGAGCCAAATCGATTGGTTATTCAATTTATAGGCAAAATTTATGAACTGCAATACCTTTTCAGAGTGAACTTTTGAGTTTGCCTCTTCTTACACTTCAGCATATTCTCCATCGATATAGTTATTTTATTCTTGTGGGTAGGTATATGGTGTATAGAATTCCTACAGACAAACATACATACAAATAAATCACAGCCATGAAACTAACTATATGATCGACTAAAATTAATATCAAATCTTGAATACTCTCCAAATGAGAAATTGTTGAAAGTTATAAATGGAAATGTATGCAATAGATGAGTTATATAATAAGTTACACCTGTATTTTACTTTATTTCTGTAAGCTTGCGAGTTGTTTGAAGTATCATCAAACTGACACTGAAAAGCAAAAGGACTGTCATGACAAAACATTGTGTCAAACGGTTCTTGATTTTGATTCAGAGTAAAATGATATGATAGATAATATAAATTAGGCCTTCCATCCCTTGTTACCCGATTCACAACTTATAATGTCTTTGGATCATTACTGTCCTCGCATATCACAAAATGTAAGTAGTTACAAAAATAGCTACCCATTACTCTAATTCTAAAATTTGTTTCAACTATATTCCTTTCAGAAAAACATGAAGAATAGATATCACATATTCTATAACACATATGTCATTAATTTCAATATTTAGGCAACCTTTCCATAATTCGTATATCTGTAGCACCAATTGTGTACCTCATCTTCTTCGTTGCAGCACATAGGATAAACTATTGGTGATTTGGTTTGTTTCGCACATCTTTGGCATATTTCTCTCTTGGTAGACTGAAAATAGAAAAGGTTGTTAACTTTTTTTTTGGGGAAAGAAAGTTTATGGCTTTCTACTACATCTTGATACATGATTATGAAGTTGTTAACTTTATAGTCATGAGATATAAGATAGAGAGATCGAGACAGGTATGGGAATGCCGTGAAGAACTGAGTTAGTTGCCACTTGGGTTTCATGGTCAATGAAAAAGTTGATGAATATCCAAACGTGGATCTTCAACTTCATTAATAGACCCTGAATTAACTATGGGAGTATAAAACTCTTCAGTACGGGAATAGATCTGGAACATGAAGATTACTAAGAAAATATTTCGCATTCACTTCGAAATATTTACTTTCCTGCAACAATGCATAAAAATTATTCATTTTCAATAGTTAATCTGAATATTCTTTCAAATTTCGAGTATCAATTACATACTTATGTTACCAATGATGAAATGGCATTTGATATTTCAACCCACTAGCACTTTCCATTTATTTGATTGTTAAAAAAATTTATTTCAAAATAGATATGATGCATGAGTTTGTGTGATAGGTAAGCATTTTGATTCGAATTATATTTTTTCTATGGTCAACTCAGAAAATGTCATATTTTTTGTAGACTGCTAGGGCAGGGTATTAAGAATAACGACAGATAGATATATTGATGACAGTCAATTTTAAGCATAATGCCATTAGCAAATAAAGTCTTGCAATCAGTTTAAAACGAAATAACATCTACTAGTGTACTATCTATTTCTGAAATGTCATTGGAAATTCAACACAATAGCAATAATATTGCTAACTGAAGTACTGACATTATACATTTTCGCAGTCATAATCAGCTTTAAAGTTGTAAAATATGTAGTTCGAAGTTGAATTATTATCTTTTTAATTTGATCATAGAAAAAGTATTACTCTATACATTTTCTATGATCATTTCTATTCCACACTTGTGTATTGCGCAATCATATTCGCGCATGATGCAACTTTCACACATTTTATGGAATGGGCTTGTTTCTGTATTTCTTGCACAATATACTATTTCAAAATTCCGATTATAGTCAACACTTACATCGGCATTATGGCAGGCATGGTTTGAAACCCACTCTGTTCCAGGTCGTGCTGCGATATGATTCACTATCGTTATCAATAAAAAGATAATCGACAGCTTCTCAAATATCTGAAAAAAAATTACATAATTATTATAATTGATATACATTTTTGTTTAGAACTGAAATCAAAGAATAGAATAATTTGACACTGTACTTCACGCCTAGAGCAATCGAAAAGTTATTATGTTTTCTAATGCCATATAAGTCTTACTAAGGATTTACATTCAAAAATATCAAAGAAAAATTGTTGAAACGTTATAAAAATTTTATGCAAATTGTAAAGAAGTATAAAAATTCCTATGATAGTATTTCATGTTATAAATCCGGTAGATCGCTTATTACAGTACGATGAGTTGTTTTACGAATCAGGTTGTCCTAGAGCCGAGTCCGAAATATAAACGAGTATTGGTAATGACACTTAACATGTACAATATGACTTTTTTTATTTCATCGTTATAGTATTTTATAAATGAATGAAATTACAAATTTCATTTCTCTGTTTAAAAATAGTACCAATTTTAGTTAAGCAAGATATTTAAAAAATTATGCTTAGAAGTCCATTCTATAGTTCTCTAAAATTTTCCATTCACTAAAGTTGGTAGAAAACCTTATTTTACAATTAATAGAGGAAAGTCACCTAATATGGGGGTAGTGCCTAATATGGGGTAGTTCAATTTTAAGCAAGTACTTGTTTCGACACCTATTGTGAACATTAAAAACTAACCACCGACTTCCTAGAAAGCGCCCATTCACGTTTTGGAGCAAACTCGTGTTGCGTTTCCACGATTTAGGTTATGGTAATTTTGTTTATGAATAACAATTTCTGGTGACTGTTGCATTTTAAATATTTAAGGAAACTTAAAGGTAAGTTTTTAAAAACTTAATAATATCATTCAATATAGAATGGCGTAATTTATGGAAATGGTTTTGGTTTTTTAAGAAAACATCAGTTTTTTCAAAAACATTCCCCTTTCAAAAATCTAATTTGTTCGTAATATGAGGTACCTATCAATTCCTAATATGGGGTACCCCATATTAGGTACTAATTTTTATATAATCAATACAACAGAATCACGAAATAAAAATACACTAAAACCAACAAAAAACCATGAAAAACTCGATCAAGAAATTCCATATGATATACAGACGGTGAGATAGGAGGTGTTATTTAGGTCAGATCGTATCGCTCCGCCTGTAGAACAACAAATAAGGAACTCGCGTTCGCTGGGGCTTCAGCGGCTCGGAAGCGGGTACCTCGACTGGAAGATTCGGCTGAACCCAGATAAAACTCTGGCGATAGACTTGGGGAGACGTAACGTTTCTCCAGACACAAGGGTCACGGTTTCAGACAGGAAGATCGAATGACAACCGCGAGTCAAGCGATTCAAGGATAGATCGCCGACTCCCCTGGGAAAATCACATTGACATCAAGAGCAAGGTTCAGTCGAGGATACCCAGACTCTATCCTCTGGTCAACAGACAGTCAAAGCTCAACATTAGAAGTAAAGTTTTACTATACAATACAAGCTTGTCGTTATGTATGCTCCAGGCGCTTGGAGACAAACCGCCACGTCAAATCTTTGCACTCCTGAAAGATTACAAAATAAAATTCTTCGAATGCTCAAGCCATCCGCAGAGATTTGAAGAGGTCGACTATACAGCAGTTCATTCATTTGAGGAATCAGAGAGTTTTCGAATCAGCTGAAATTCATGAAAACATCTTAGTCTGGGAAGTTTCACACGATTCTGAATCCCCCATCACTCAGTTGAGTGAAGGCCCCACGACGTTCGTTAAAAAGAATAGTTTGTTTATCCAATACCCCAGTCAGGAATAGGTACACAGGACCAGAGCGGCAAAGGACACTGACCTTTATGTCGCAACCAAACACTTTTAGTCTTGAATCATTCGTCCTCCTGACGAACCTTAGTTGAAAGGGCAAGGCAATATTTTCCAACCTGATTAATGCGAAGATGACTTCGATGGGGCTTCAGCACGTAGTCTTTCTGCACGGTCTTGGCCGACGTGAATGCATGACGAGAGCTTTACGAAAAGTGTGATCGGGTGAGCTTGTGAATGCGTGAAGAGGGTGTTACGAAAAGTGTGATCGGACAAGACGAACCAAAGTTGAGAGGGAGATCCAAAGTTGAAAGGAAGATTTGAGCTAGTGAAGATAGAAAGGTAGAGTTGCGTTTCGTATATTACTGTAGGTGCAAGAGAGAGGCAGAGTTGCGAGCACACATTTACGGTCGAGTAGTCTCTAAAGAATTAGGAGAAATCTATCATACGTTGCCACTAATTTTAGCAAAAGAATTCAATGTTAATTTCTAAAATGTTAAAAATGTCTAAAAATGGACAGCTCTTGGTAAACTTTCTACAAGATAAATTAGAACCACAAATGAATAATAACCGAAATGAGCCTACCACAAGACATGGAACCACAATCGATACCTTATGTTCATCCGGAAACATATGTACCTTATTTTTCATGCCCATTTTTTTGTTCTACAATAAACCACAGTAATTACTGATGCATCCGATAATAAAAATAATAAATAAAAATATAAAATCTAAATGAAAGTAACTCTTTGCTATCTTTTTGTTTATTGTTATATAAAATACTTCCTGGTTTCAATTTTGTTACCCAAATTTATTATGAAGAAAAATTTCCTAAATTTCGTTGATTCTTTTTATGCTTTTATTACAATTTCATGTTTTACACAGCCTGTCACAGCTACCGGACCGAGTCATGGCCGGTGGGAGAAATCATACATACATACTTATTGTATTGAGGGGGGCTTCTCACCGGCCATGACTCGGTCCGGCAGCTGTTCTATCTGCAATAGTTTGTCAATGAATTGTTAATAATCTAACAATCTATTTATATTTATTTCATTATTCTACAAAACCAAATTACTTCGCGTGACATTTTCATAATCATGTTCCCCCTAAAGTCAGCCACTGCCACATACAATTCTATTACGAAACGCAGAACTTTGTTCGATTCGATAATTATTCTTATTTCAACTGCATCGTATACTATTTTTTTTAATTTCATTAATTAATTAAATCATTTCAACTTGTGACTTCCAGATAAATTCTTAAGTAAACATCATTATTGGTTATATCCTTATTTTTCTATTCAATAAATATTTCTGAAAATTGCAAGATGACGTCCGAAGAAAAATTCAAGCAGTAATTCTAATTTGTCGTGCACTTCAGGCATTAGTCATATAGAAAATAGAATGAAGAAAATAACTTTTGTCTAATTTCTATCAAGTTTAATATTCGTTACGACCGGTTTCGTTTTATCAGACCATTTTGAAGTAACTTGAAAATGGTAACTTATAAGACAATTTTCAAGTAACTTGAAAATGGTATAATAAACAGAAACCGGTACTTACAAATAATAAACTTGGTAGAAATTAGACAAAAGTTACTTGAAAATGGCCTAACAAACCAAAACCGGTCGTAACAAATGATAAACTTAGTAGAAATGACATATTCTATATTCAATATGAATTTCTACAAATTGAATAGGTCATCAATCGAAAAAGTTATTATTCATTCATCTGAATCTGTGTGCTTTATTGAATAGATCATCGAAAGTATGGCTAATTTTGTTATTCAATAGGAATAGATATTCTAAATAGCTTTGGAATTTTATATACACTGATTACTGAAATTGACAAATCCATTTAGAATATATGCCCAGTAGTTCATTCATATAAATTGGTGCTCAAAAATATGTCTGAAATATACTGTCAAATATCGAATACATGGTTTCAAATGAAATTTTATTCTCAAAAATAATTTAAAATCCCATTTTTGAATCATTCGAATAATGAAAACATCACTTTTTGATTAAATTACAGACAGGCTGAAGATTTTTAATGAAATTATTAGAAATTTGAATCTGCCATAGCTGATACACGTTGAACTTTATTAGACACAAATTTTCCATTAGTGAGTAATCTCTTGGAAGTTATATTACATCATAACTGAACAAAGTAATCCATGTTCAAAAAACACTTCATAGTGAGATTTTCACTACACAATTCAACAAAAACGCAACACGTTTTTCGCTATAAAATAGCTTCAGGCCTATCTATACTATCCATCCAAACTGAGGCTCGTAGGTCATTATTATTTTATAGAAAGAGATAAAATGAACAATTTTCCAATGTACCTATATAAAGTTCCTCGTTTGAAACAAAAATATTCATTTAAATCTCATCAACTATACATGTCGAAAAACTATTCCTTCAAATACATCGGCTAATAGGAAACAAATATATCTACGCGATTTATAAAAATATAACTTACCTTGAACGAGAAAGCCATGTTTACAGTTCACAATAGTTGAAACACAAACACAACACCGATCCAAGAAACTTGAAATATCCACTTTGGAATCTCTAGTTGTATTGATTCTCGGTATGTTGGTTGTAATTTATATATGAAAGTCCAGTGATAACCCACTATATCACGTTGCAAAAGGAAGTACAAGCAAGAAAGCAAATCTTGATAAGGATTATCCCCTCCAGGAAATGAAAATTTCTGTTAACTCTAGCGAATTATCTTTTCAATCTTGTCATTAGATGTTTTTCAACTCGAAAAAAAATCAATCATTCTCATTTTACACAGCGTCTCTACATAGTAACTTCTCCCGTTTTTTTATTATATTCCGAACCGTATAACCAGAAGATTAAAAATCTCTTAGAAGGTTTTGAAAAATGGTGAACTTTTATAGAATATCCATTCCGAAAGCTGCTGAGATTCAAGCCCCACTGAATGTATTCCAAAAAGGTAATCCCAAAGACAATAAAACTATTGTGGAATGCTTCTCAGGATTTTTTTGTGCAACTGAAAGCAGCCATAGCTAACGCTGTCTTACTTGCCCACCTTTCCGCATCATTTTCTTTTGCATTAATGATGGATGCTTCAAGTAGCAACAACTTCAGCAGAGAAACTGGAAACCATTGGCATTTTTCTCTTCAAAATTATGAAATGTTAAACAAAATACAGAACTCATGATAGAGCACTCGCGATTTATGAGTCAATAAAACACTTTCGTTTCATGCTTGATGGACGTGAATTTGTAATATATTCTGATGCTAAACCTTTGAAGTTTGCATCTAATAAAAAACCAGAAACTACTTCTCCCAGACAAACTCGGTACCAGCATTTCATTAGTCAGTTTTTAACGATCATCAGACATAATTCTGCATCCAAATATATTGTTACTGACGCCTCATCAAGAATTTCGGACATAACTCGACAAAATTTTATGGACCTTACCAAATGGAAAAATGAATGGAAACAAGATGATAAACTTCAGAAACTAAAAAAATCAAATGCCTAGAAATGACAGTAAAATCTATTGTGATGTTTCTACCCATCATATCAGACCATATTATTATGTTCCAAAAATTTTAAGGAAAGACATATTCAAAAAATTGCACAGCCTGTCTCACCCTGGTATCAAATCAACTATAAAACTCGTGAAAAGTAAATATATTCGGCCTAAAATTAAAAAAGATCTTCGAGAATAGGTTCTATCTAAACTATATCCCCTGTCAAAAATCCAAAGTGAATAAACATGCGGTTAGTCCTGTCGGCAAGTATAATATCCCATTTTCAAAAACTACACTTCAAGATTTGATCTCCACAAACTTCATTTGAAAAATATATCACAACATGTTTCGCTAGCACAGTAGATTTGAATCACTTGACAAAGGCGTGGTTTTTGAAATTACTATGGATCTTCATCGAGTAACGGCCGAATCAATCAGAAAAAAAATAATATCCCAAACTAAAGGTTTGAATACATTAATATTGATATCGTCGGAAATTTTCCACCTTCAAATGGTTTCTCTTATTGTTCAACATGCGTAGACCTATTCCCTGTGGAAGTCATACGTGCTGAAACAGTGGCTAGGACTCTTTATAATGGATGGATCACTATATTTGGTAGTATAGTTCAAGTAAAAGATATAGTGCCCCCTACCTTCCAGCAGTTTCCCTTTAATAACACACACAACGCGGTACTTACCGCTAGATTCTGTTGGTCACCGTAACATGACTTCAAATTTAATTTTATGACTCTTCAGCCAATCCTAAAACTCGGTTAGTAGAAATTATCCAATACGAACCGCCAATTCTTCAGTCCACGTGGACTAATTCGTTGCGGCTTAATTCCTTTGTATTGGTTTTTTTGACCTTTAACTTTGCCGACACCTTTAAGATTACTATATCGTTACTTCGACTATACTTGGATGCGTGACCGCTTGGGAACACCGCGTGTCGTTGTTTTTTTTTTATTTTTAAAATAAAAGAGAAATGATAAATATTTCACGGTTTTAATCAACAATTGAGAAAAAATATATTCATAGAGAAACTCAAACCAGCTTTCATAGAGAATCAGGATGAACTATATATAAAAAAAAATGGCCGTCAAAATCTTACTACTGAAAATGAAGACGAAATGGACAAAGTTACTATGAAAAGGTACTACATCACCCGTTCTGAAAGGATAGTGACATCCATAGTTTCAGTCAGAGGGGGGAGTAATGTGGTATCACAGTCATTGGCGTCCAGTATAAAGTGTTTAGAGAAAACAAAATATAAAAAATAATTTTTGTGAGATTGTTGATTGATATGTCAGATATTAATACTCGTATAGATGGTATAGCTATCAAAACTTCGTGAATATTGAAAAAGTTAGATTAAATTATATTAGATTAACATGGGGCTTCTGTGCTGAACAGTCATTACACTGCGACCTTTGCATATCTATTGTGTGTGCCCTCATGTATGCTAGAGTTCCCTGTCTAGGCCCGTCCTTGTAACTAGACTCAATAGGCCAGACCTTAAGTTCCCCATATATTGAGAGGGTTGTGGTTTTTCCTCCCCTAATGTTGCAAACCTTATCCTTGACAGACCTTCGCAATAGATTGAAAAAGTTAGTAGTAGTTATTTGCTAACTAGAAATTCCTAGGATAAACAAATTTCTTATTTCTAATTCCACTGCCGAAATAATCGTTTTCCAATCGTTTCCATGGTTCTTTTCGATATCAACGTGATAGAAGTTGCGTGTTAAAGGGTAAGTCCTCATTCATTCTTAGCTCGCACAAGTTTCGGTTTCTGATGGTTGTCGTTCGAAAGGGGCGACAGTAGAAAAACAGATTTAAACAGTTTTTAAAAATATCGCAAACCTTTTAAAGTTTTTTCATAATCCCTCAATCGCTTGAATTGATTAAAATATAATCGTTTCTTTCTTTTCTTATATGACGATATCTCATCAAGATGTGCCTAGTGTGACATACCTAATATCCAGGGTATTTTAAACAATCTGACAGTTTTTTGATCAAGGTGGTAGAAATTCAGATTTTCTCATTCAAACGTTGTATAGGTACATATGAAACTTAAATCTACCAACTGAGTTGTAAAAATGAAGAACAGATTATTAAACATTTTTTTCTGGGGAGGCATACAGTTCGTAATGGCTATAGTTGAAGGGATCTAAAAGTCTCGAAACAGGTAACTTTAACTACGAACTCCTCTGACACTGTCACTATGCTCACCAATATATGAATACGAAGATCGAACGTACCTAGACCTGGTTTATTCAATAATATAGTATATCTCTAGTTATGCATTCTACGAATAGGTATTGGAGGAGAAAGCATTTTTAGAAGGTTAGTTGAAGCGTTTCAAATCCGAATAAAATTTAGAGGTATTTCCAAAAATCTAGTCAGGAACGTTTCTAAGAATCAACATCCACCGTTTGTTGAAATAGTTACGTTAGGATCACTTTTAGACAGGACCTTTTTTTCAAATTCTAATAATAAAGTGATGCAAAGTATGTGAACGTAGTATGGAGAGTAGTTTGACCTCAGTTCTGTGTGATAATATAGAAGCGATATCAGAATACAGATAATCAATTCTCTAGTTTATCTTGAAAATATACTTTCGGAGATATTTTTATTTATTATTATTGTTATCATTATAAATTGAAGTCTCTTGGCGTGTTTGCCTGAACACGATAAACTCAAAAACTAACGAACGAATTTCCATAGAGTTTCTATCAATTACGGAGCGATTCGAACGGAAGTATTATGTTTATTAATGTTATGTGTGAATTGGTTGAAATATGATGTTTTTCATGAGAATTAGTGGTGGTGGCCTAAAATATTGTAGAATTCTTTCAAATTCTCTCAATCTTCTGAATTGTTCTAGTAAGTTTCACCTTACAGCTGTTATATTTTCAAAAGCACGACCTACAGGTGAATATTGAAACCTTTATTGACAATGTGACACACGTCAGAAAAAAAAGTAGGCATATAGGTTTTGCTAACTATGCGATTCCGGGTTGGATCTGTGGTTATCTTTATTATAAATTAAAACTATTATTTTGAAAATGGTGACTTCTACGAAAAACTCTTCCAAACTTATAAAAACATTCATGTTGAAGAAATGGTAGTAACTTAACTATTAGTTATGAAATTTTTTTCGATATATATCACACATGAATTTTTTGATTTAATTACGGAATATTTGAAATTGTTGACTTTTCAAGAAGAAGAAATATACTTAGTATAAAATTTGATAATGAACAAAAATATAACAATCCATTTCAACTCACAGTTCCTGAAATCTAAAAAAAAATAAATTGAGATCGAATAAAAACAAAACCTCCCTCCACTTGAAAAAATTAGCTGCCTGCAGTTTAGGAATCTTCAGATGAGCCTCTTTAGAATCTGATAGCCCTGATTGCCCAGATGCCAAGCTGATATATTAAAAATTCGAGTGGCATAATATTCTCAATAGGTTCAGTACAAACTATAAAATGTTAAGACAAAGAAAGTTCTTTGGGGTATCAAATGGGCAAATATATGAATAGTTTTATCAGTTCATCCATGAAGTATGTATCTAATTCAGATAGGCATAGCTGAAGGTGAGGTTGAAATTGATAGTATGAAAATGATCCTAAAAATTATTTTAAATAATAAATGACATTAGTGTAGCGAACATATTATGAAATTATGAAACAACAACAAAAATTAATTGGCGCTCCGTGGCGACTTGATCAATTCCAGTGGTGCATTTGCGTTTTCAGCTGCAGAAAAACACGGAAAAACCTGCATCCAGGGCCGTCTCCATGGAGGGATGGGGGGAGCCCCCCTGTTTTTCAACTTGGGAAAAAGTTGATAAATTTTGGGCTGTGAAGATAGAAAAAAATAACAGTAAAAAAATTCATGAAAATTATAAAAATAAAAATGAGAGAAAAGAAAGGGAGAGGTAATAAGAAAAGGGAAGGAACCAGGAGAAGGTTGGGATTTCCCAACAAGCATAACTTGGAGATCCCAATCTTTAAAATTCTGAGTTGTTTGAAAACTTCAAAAAAGTTTAATTTCTCCCAAGTAAGAGAAC